CAGGTTTGGCCTGTCAGACTGTAGGGCTGCTTTTTACCTTCTCTGGTCCCACGCCCCCATTTTTAGTTAGCATTACGTTACACATGTCATTTATATGAATTGATTGCAATAAATCATCTTACTTCAATTCAGAAATAGTTTCGAGAAGTATGGATGTAGAGAACAGTGGGGTTTTTTTCCCTCCCTTTCTGAAAATTTTCCTTGAATTGTTTTCCACACCTTATAATACCATATAGAAACTCCTGAATAGTTACAGCATGGAAATAGGGAATATCTTTCTCTTCCTCCTGGTCTTTTTAAAAAAATTCTTATTTTCCATGATATAGTTTTTTTTCTTAAGATTTATTTCTTTGTATTGGAAAGTCAGGTTTACACAAAGAAGAGACACAGAGAAAAATCTTCCATCCTCTGATTGACTTCCCAAGTGGTCACAACAGCCAAGTTGAGCCGATCCGAAGCCACGAGCCAGGAGCTTCTTCAAGGTTTCCCACGCGGGTGCAGGGAAAGTGGAACAGCCAGGACATGAACTGCTGCTCTTACGGGATCACAGCAAGTGCAAGGTGAGGATTTAGCCACTGGGCCATCACACTAGGCCCCACGATACAGATTTGTAGGTGTAGGGACTCCTTCCTTTTCTCCCTCCCCATTTCACCCCCATACCATGTTCCTCCATATTACAGTAATACGGCAGCAGCAGCAGTCGCAGATTCAGCATTCTGCTACTTAAGTGTGTCATGGCATTGTGGGCACAGGCAATGGTAGCAAATCCAGCATCAAATTGTCCAGGTGTATTTAACGGTTTCATTGGGAGTCTTCCTTTTATTTGGGAGTAAAGATACATACTGTAATGTGTCTTCACTTCCTGGTATGCTAGCTTTCATTACGCAATTAATTTATGAAAATATATGTATATGTTTGTATGTCTATTTGTTTTATATTTTCCATGAAGGTTGCCTTATATCACAGAAAACAGTAGTTGTCCTTTTGTGTCTGGCTTATTTCACTGAGCATAATGGTCTCAATTCAAGACCACTTTGCTGCCAATGGTAGAATTTTATTCTTTTTAATTGCTTAGTAGTATCCCTTGGAGGTGATGTACTTAAAAAAAAAATGCCTTATCCTATTTAAAATATGTGTGTGTGTGTGTGTGTGTGTATTCATTTATTCTTATTGGAAAGGCAGTTTACAGAGAGAGGAAGATATAGAAAGAAAGATCCTCTGTTTACTGGTTCACTCCCCAAGTGGCCATAATGGCTGGAGCTGAGCTGATCTGAAGCCAGGAGCTTCCTCCAGGTCTCCCACATGGTTGCAGAGTCCAAGGCTTTGGTCCATCCGCTGTTGCTTTCCCAGGCCACAAGCAGGCGTCTGGATCATAACTGGGGCAGCAGGGATACAAAGTGGTGATCATATGCGATCATATGCAGGCAAGACAAGGATTTAACCACTAGGCTACTGTGCTGGGCTCCCCCGTTTCTTTAGCCATTCCTCTTTCAGGAGGCATTGGGGTTATTTCCATGCCTTTGCTATTGTGAATTACACTGTTATGAATGGGCATCACAGAGATTAGAAGTGGACACACAGAGGCAGCAGGCAGATCTTCTGAGGCAGCAGAAGGTCCAAGCCCTTGGGTGCCTGACACAGCTTCTCAAGGTGCCTTTGTGGCCCGTGGCCAAGCTGCTCATGTTCCCAGACAGTTCTGGAACTTCTGATGAGCACTGGTTTCTGTCAACCAGCCAAGCCAGTTGGTCTGCTTGGGTTGAATGGTGCCTGTCCTGTGACAGACCCCTTGTCCCAGGAACAAGAAGGAGTAAGACATGGCCTGGCACAATAATCTAGTAACTGAAGTCCTCACCTTGCGTGGGCTGGGATCCCACATGGGTGCCAATTCTAACCCCAGCGGCAGCCCCACTTCCCTTCCAGCCTCCTACCTGTGGCCTGGGAAAGCAGCAGAAGACAGCCCAAAGCCTTGGGACCCTGTATCCATGTGGGAGACCTGGAAGAGGCTCAAGGCACCTGGCTTGGGATTGGCAGTTGGGGAGTGAACCAGTGGATCGACGGATGCTCTTTCTCTCTGTAAATCTGATCTGCTTTTCCAATAAAAACAAATAAATCTTTAAAAAAACAATAACAACCAAAAAAAACAGATCCAAAAACTGAAGTTTTGTTCCGTGCATTCAGTAATGATAGGGAATAGTTAACGCACACATCAGTGGGAGCTATAACTAGTTACTTGAGTTGCAGAAAAACAAAAGCTCGTTTGCAGGGAGCTGGTTCAGAAGTACAGCATCCAGGACACAACTGGAGCCCAAATAAGATGCCGGCACCAGCAGGAAAAGGATTAGTCTGCTGAGCAAGCCTTGGCTTGTATTTTATGTATTTTTAAAAACCACGTAAGCAAACTAGAATTCAAATTTGCTACATAAAATCTGTATTCTTTGCAGAACAAGACTATAAAATAACGTTCATGTTATTAAGAGAGGCTACAGCCCTAGAAGGCTTTGAAAAATTGTGCTCCAGAGACACTAATCCCCCAGGGACCATCCACGTGTCCCAAAACACTCTAAATCCTACAGGTGAGAGAGCCCGAGAGCAGGAAGGAAGCCACAGTAAAGGACCGGGTCCCAGGGGAGCAAGATTCCATTCGAGTTCCTCACTTCTTCAGACCAGTGTCGAAGCCAAGGTCTTACAACAGGGACAGGAGATCAGAGCTCTCCGTCACGCTATCTCGGCTGAGAAAATACACCTGCCTTCGCAGCTGACATCCTCCAGGGCCTCGGGGTCCGGCGCTTTCCCACCTCGTGGCCGCCCGGCGGGCTGACGCTGCAGGGTTCCCGGGGACCTAGCAGGAAGGTGGCGGCCGCCGTCCCCGCCGGGTGGGCGCGTTCCCTCGGCCACCGGGCTGCAGGCGCCGCGCTCTCCCGCTCTCCCAGCCGCGCCCTCCGGCGAAGAGGAAGCAGTGGCAGAGGTGGCGAAAGGTCCGGGCCAAGGTCACCTGGCGCAGCGGCGAGTCACCCCTCCCCAGGTGCTTCCCCTGTGAATGTGAATGGAATTAAGCGCTCTTTTCTCTACTTAGATGGCCCGCGCAGCGAATAAAAATGCAGTCGTTGTATCACATAATACAATGTTAATAACAATTAAAAAAAGTAATAAAAAAAAATGCAGTCGTTGATCGCCGGGTCTGGGTCTGGATCTCGGATATTTCAGCGCCCTGCGCGTCCGGTCGCGAACCTTCCCCGAAGTTTCCAGAGCTCAGGACCGCGATGGTGGCGGCGGCGCGGTGGACTCTCCGCGGCCTTTGAAGGCCACTTAGGAGGTGACGCCCGACCCTCGGATCCGAAGCGTCGAGGGTCTCCAGCAGCCGATCCGCGAGGCGCCGCTGTCCTCAGCTGGGCGCCCGGCTCCTCGCCCGGTCTCTGGGACGTCGGACGCCTTCTGCCGCCGCCTTCCAGCAGGCTCGGCTCTCCGGACCCAGAAAGTCCAGGGTTGCTTAGGGTGCGTGCGTGCTCAGAGAGGCTTCTCGGGAGGTGGCCGTGTCCGGCGCTTGGCTCTCCATCCCTCCAGCCCCGAGCGGCAGCAGAGCCTGTCCTGGAAAGCTGGCGGCGAGCGCCCTCCACCAGGGTCCTGGAGCGCGTCGGGTGGGCGACCTCCGGGGATCCCGGGGCGAATGGAGCTCTCTCCGGCCAATGGCTGCGATGGGCGGGGAGAAGACGGAGCTGGGGACCCGCGTGGCCCGGGTCCCTTGCACACCCTCGCCGTCCTCCGCGTGCCCCGCCCGTCCAGCCGCCCTCTTAAGCCCGGCTCAGCCCTCGGGGCTCGCCCGCAGCCCACCGGTCCGGAGCCTGCGCCCGGGTGACCGAGGCCCGGCTGGCGTGCGCTCCGAGGTAGGTGCTCGGCGGGGCGCGCCCGGGGAGAGCTCCCACGCTGGCCGACGGCTTCCAGGGCGCAGTTCCACCCGCGTGGTGCTTTTGCCTCCTCTTCCGTGTCTCGGTGATACTTGAGGTCGGAGAAAAGCCCGGGGAGCTGGGCGCCTCCCGAGGCTCCACACCGCAGCCACGCACATGTGGCTGACCTCTGCTCCTGACCCCGTGTTCTTTAATTTCTTGAGTCACGACCCTGCCGAGTTATCTTATTGGGCTCATTGATCTTGCCCACAGGACCTGCTGCCCCTCTGGAAGGGGCTTCCTTCCTCGGCTGCGAATCCATGAAACGACCTCCTCATCGGGGCTAGGACCCCGACTCCGGAGAAGCGACCCTAGGCTTCCCCACTCCCCAGGTGGGACGACTGGAGTCGGTGATGCACTTGGGGGCTGCGGCGGGGCTCGGGCCGCGCGGGCAGCTGCGTTTCCCCCGGGGGAGCGGGAGGTGGCGCCGGCTCCCCTCGGGGCAGCCGCGGCTCGGAGCCCGCAGGGGCCGACGTGGGCTTGCAGAGCCGCCTCTCTCCGCGCCGTCCTTGCTCTTCCCTTCCGGGGCGCCTGCAGCGGCTTCCTGCTCCGTAGCCCCCCGGGAGTCTCGCGCTTGGCTCCCCGCCCCATCCCTGGGTGGGGGAAGGTCAGGTGGCTGGAGCCGACTCTCCCACCCTCCCTTCAAAAAGTCTTGTTGGACGGAGAAGGCGAAGGGTAGGGAACTTGCACTAGGTTTTGCAGGAGCCGGGTTAGGGGCGAAAGGTAGGGAGCGGGTGTTGGAGACCGGCCGCGCTGGGTCCCGGCGGGTGTGGAGAGGGAAGGCGAAGGTGACACTAACTTCGAACTTGGAGTCGGCGGGCATGCTGGCGGATTTTCGTTTGGGGCTATTTACGTTTACTGTTTCTGCTGTGTTGTTTTGGTTGCTTGATTTTTTTTTTTTTAGACAGGCGGGGTCGAATTGGGTGGAATTTATCCAGTTCCTCGACCTGGGGTTGGTGGGTGGCGGCGGCCGCCGGCAGACGGGAGGTTCCCCGGGGAGGCGAGCACTCAGCCCGGCTGGTTTCTCTCGGCAGACCCTCCTAGCTCACCGGCCCGAGGATGGCTCTGCGAGCGCCCGCTGAGACCGAGCTCCAGGAGCAGGTGTGCTACCCAGCCGAGAGGCTCCAGGTCAGCTCCCAGTACCTGGCTGCCTACTACGAGCCTTTTGCCGCCTACGGCTCCTTCAGGAGCGCCCTGGCCGCGGCGGAGGACTTGCAACCTTTCCCGCAGCTGGATGGCTCCGTGCCTGCGCCCCAGGCCATACCCTCCTTCCCCTTTCGGACGGCACCTCCTTTGCTGAACCCCACCCTGGCCCTACAGCGGGAACCCCTTTATGGCATGCCCTGGTACGGCAAATTGCCGCACTGGTATTCAGTTGCCCCGCTCCCCGGGGAAGTGCCACACTTCCTGAGCAGCAGCGGTGAGTACCCGGGGTCCAGCGGTGACAACTCGGCCCGCAACGACGGCGCCCCTCGCTCCAGTGGACCCGACCCCGTAGCGACGCCTGCCCAGGCGTCCGTGGTCCCTACGGGACTGAAGACATCTTCCGTAGCGTCTCGCTCCCCGGCGAAACGGTCTGAGGATGACCCCAAAATCCTGAACCTGGAGCGGAAATCGCCTGACCGTTTCCACTTCACCGAGGAAGACCTGCACTTCGTTCTCTATGGGATTACTCCCAGCTTGGAGCACCCAAGTTTGCTACAGCTTGCCATTTCCGGAGTCCTGACCCCCACAGGAAGCCCTAGCTCTGGTAAAGGGAGCCCAGGCTGTCGGGAACTTAATTGGTTGGGGGGGGGGGGAGATAGAAGGGGGAGGGACGGGGAGCAGGGCCAGGAGGATCTGAAGTCTGCGCTGTCTGTTGGTTTTGTAAGAGTCGATGGAAGCCATGCTCTCTAAGAAGCCTGGCTTAACTGCAGGACTCTTGAGTTGCTTTTCCCCGCACCGTGGACAGACGCGCTTGGGTGGGCTTGTGGCTGCCATTAGATGCCATTAGGGGCAGCTCTACCTTAGATAGTCACACCTGGGGCCCCAGCTTAGCCACCCAGCCCCACCTTGGTTCAGCATTATCTCTGGTGCTCAAGTCCCTTAGATTAGCCGATTCTCAAGTTCCTTAAGTTTGCAAAATAGCCTGCCTAGGGTTATTGGGAGTGTCACACATGAAAAGCTCCTTGAAAGGAGCCGGGGAAACAGACAGTGGCTAGATGGGGTAAGGAGGATTCCGCTTTAATAGTATTTCATAATTTTGATTGAAAAAAAAATTGTTTTTGCTGTCTCTAGGGTCTGATTCGCTTCCTCAAGCTCTGGACAAGGAATCTCTTCAACTTCCAGAAGGTGGGCAAGCGCTCTCGCTTGGGTTTCTTGTACGGAACTGGTGCAGGTGGCCTTACTCATTCTTCTTTACCGCTTTGGGCTTGCTCTAGGTCTGTGCCTTCTGCAGACGATGCTTGGCGAGGTGCCACACTTCGGGGTGTTCTGCAGTGGATTCATTGCCAAGGGAGTCAGATTTGGGCCCTTTCAGGGCAAAATGGTCAACACCAGTGAAGTGAAGACCCACATGGACAATTCTGTGATGTGGGAGGTGAGTGTGGGGGACACCGGGGTATGTCCTGGGCTCTTGGTGTTGTCTGTAAGGGGAAAAGCAGCAGGTGTCCCATTCTAGGGGACAGTGGTCAGCATGTGTGGATGCTGTGCTCGGCAGTGCCCCAAGTCATTGAGTCTGGGAAGACTAGCCTAGAATGTGTCCTGAAGAATTGAGTAGGTTGTGTTTTTGTTATAGATCAAACCCAATGTTTTGACATTGTAAAGTTCTGAAAGTATGCCAAAGGAAATGAAAAGCAAAACTTTAGGATTCTGTATTGTTTGCCTCTGAAATTAGCCAGGGATTTTTTTAAGGACCCACATGCCTTAAATTACCTAAGGGGTGTGGGCTGTGCTGCTGGGATTAAAGATTGTCAGAATGTGTCAGATACTTTGAAATGTACAAGACCCTTGATCCTTAGTTTCTCCTAGGAAGCTAGTCTAGGAAACGAGTCTGAAATTCGGGCTATGCAGACTGTGTTGCTGGGAGACAGTGAACTCTCCAGCAAAGAAGAAAGTGTGGCTGAAAACTAAATGGGATAGAATACAAAACTAACAGATTGTCTTTCAGAGGAGGAATCACGTAAGATCTCTGTTTTGTTTATTTCCTTTAGTCTTGCTTATGAAATTAGCATGTGCTTAATGCAGAAACTTAGGGTTCCCAAAAAAAAAGAGAGATAAAACCAGGACTCGAGCGCACTCCCTCAACGTCACGTCCTCAAGCTAGGAAATCTATTTAGGCTTAAGTGGATTTATATACTGCTTAGAGCGATTACAGACATCTGTGGTGGCCTCTCATGTAAGTTTTATAGATTTTTACTAAATATTCTCTTAAGAGGGAGACGCAATTCATTTCAGGCTGCTTTTACTTCCCTCAGATCTTTGAAGACGGCCATTTAAGCCACTTCATAGATGGAAAAGGGACCGGGAACTGGATGTCCTACGTCAACTGCGCCCGCTTCCCCGAGGAGCAGAACCTGGTTGCAGTGCAGTACCAGGGGCAGATCTTTTATGAGAGCTGCAAGGAGATCTGCCAGAACCAAGAGCTCCTTGTGTGGTATGGAGACTGCTACGAGAAGTTCCTGGACATTCCTGTAAATCTGCAGCTCACCGAGAAGGGCAGGCAGCCTGCTGCGACCGTGGAAGGTGAGTGCACTGCTTTGCCTGCCTCAGGAGGGCCTCCCGCTGGCAGGACGCGCTGGTCCTCGCCAGGTCCTCACCCCTGATGGCTGATGCGTAGCTTGTGTGGAGACTGCACTGAAGATGAAAGAGGCGCTCACCTTTCCACACCTGCCAAAGTTTTCCTGTAAGAAGTTTTGTTTCCTACGCCTTCACCCCCTCAAGAATAAAAGGAATGTGAAATGCATGGCTGTCACCGGTGCCTTAGCTCGGCCACCTTGCTGTTATGTTTCTGCTCAGGCTGCCATGATTGACATACTCAAAGGACAAGGGCAGCGTTTTTCAGATGGTGGATTGTCGGGGAGGGTGGCAGAATAAAAGTAGAACAGAAAAGCTGATTGGAATCCCGTAAGAAACAGGAAGCGTTGTGTGTCTAGTTTTCATTTCCAACGGATGCATGTGTCAGTACATGAAATGTGATTCTTAGTGCGGGTCTCGGTCAAGTCTGGGAAACACTGGACTGGGCTCCTGTTTCCATGTATGTGACTGGCCAGTACCTAACCATTTGAACCGTCATCTGCTGCCCCCCAGGAGTGGATTTGGCAGTAGGCAGGAATCAAGAGTAGAGCTGGCACTTGAATCCAGGTCTTCCGGTAGCGGAGGTGAGCTTCGGCTGCTGTGCCGAATGCTGTGTCCATACTGCTGTCACTGGACTACATCGGGGCAGCAAGGAGCTAGAGGACCCCAGCTCACCTTGAGGATTGTCTCTGGAAATGGCATTTGAAGCAAGTTCTCCATGTGATTTTTTTTTAGATGCATTTATTTGTTATTTTTTTTAACATGTGACTATTCTGTTTAGCTTTCATCTGTTGATAGCATATTAATTTTTTTAAGTTTTATTTTTATTGGAAAGTCAGATATACAGAGCTCCATCCGATGATTCACTCCCCAAGTGAGCACAACGGCCGGTGCTGCATTGATCCGAAGCCAGGAGCCAGGAACTTCTCCAGGTCTCCCACATGGGTGCAGATCCCAAGGCTTGGGGCAGGGAGCTGAATGGGAAGTGGAACTGCCGGAATTGGGATTAGAACCGGCGCCTACATGGGAGGACTTTAGCCGCTAGGCCACGCCGCCGGCCCTTATTTGTTTATTAGAAAGGCAGAATTTAGAGACAGGGCTCTTCCATCCATAAGTTCACTCCCCAAGTGGCCCCGTGGTTGCAGCTGGGGAGGTCTGAAATCAGGAGTCGGAAGCTGCTACCAGGTCTCCCCTGTAGGAGCGTGGGCCCAAACATGTGGACCGTCTTGGGCTGCTTTTTCAAGCACATAAGCAGGGAGTTGGATTGGAAGTACAGCAGCTGGAGCACAAACCAACTCCTATATGTTATGGGCCCGGCAAGTAACTTTTGTACATATAAAATTCTGGGGACTCAGGCCCAGCGTGGTAGCATAGTGGTTAAAGTCCTCTCCTTGTACGCCTGGGATCCCATATGGGCACCGGTTCTAGTCCCGGCAGCCCAGCTTCCCCTCCAGCTCCCTGTTTGTGTCCTGGAAAAGCAGTCGAGGACAGCCCAAAGCCTTGGGACCCTGCACCCACGTGGGAGACCCAGAAAAGGCTCTGGGCTCCTGGCTTCAGATTGGTTCAGCTCCATCCATTGCTGTCACTTAGGGAGTGAATCATTGGACACAAGATCTTCCTCTCTATATATCTGACTTTCAAATAAAAAAATAAATCTTTAAAAAAAAAATTCTGGGGACTAGTCATCCAATGGGAGGGACAAGATAATGTAAACTGTTGTCACATGTGTAGTCGGATAGAAAAGACCATTGTTATGATCTCAGAGATGCCGAGCGCCAGGTAAAGAAGCCTAACCTGAATTCCTAACACCTGGCAGTATTTGGCGGGCTGCTGTCTGCTTCCTATGCTTAACCCTTAGGCTGGAGAGCAATTCTGAACATTCCATGCCTCTGGATGCCATTGTGAACTGAAGGGGTGGGTAAGAGCTGCAACTGAATTGGGTCAGGCTGCTTTGGGATGGGGTAAAGTAAGAGGATTCAGCACAGTGGGATGCAACTCCCCAATTTCAGAGAGCAGAGAAGCCAAGGCCAAGGAAATATGCAGGTAAAGGGCGCGGGCTGTACAGCAGATTAAATCGCCCCTGGAATTGGCATCCCATATTGGAGTGCTCATTAAGTCTTCAACGAGGGAGAGAGGAAGGAACTTGCCCAAGAGGAAAAAAATTTTGCATGTGAGAATTTTTATTATAGCACCATCCATATTCATGGAAACTCACAAAGTAAATGCTCAATAGTAGAATAATGAAGTAAGTGATATGTTACTGACATGGAATCAAATGCAGATATCCAAGATCTCAATCAGGGATGAGGGATCATAACCATCCACCCGGGAAGCCCAACTCGCACCACCTTTGCAAAGATGACATCTGATGCTTTTGGCCTTGAGCTGACAGCGTGTGTCTTTTGGCCAATATGTGGAAAGAAAGCTGAGTACACCTTGATTTATTGCAAAGAATTCTGTCACTTCATTTGCCCTCTACTGCTGTGAATGGTGGGCTGCCCTTCAAAGTCTGACCCAGTAGGGAGGGAAGGCTTTGGACTCTATGTGGGCGGGATATTTGAAAATGCAAGTGTGTGTATGTGTTTTGGGGGTGGAAGTGTGGAATGCAAAGATAAAGCTTTTTTTCCCCCTAATAGCTGTGATCTGCGATCTGGAACAACTCTTAATCCTTGGCAAATTAAACCAGGTTTGGACCGAAAGTATCCCTATCGGTTGTTGAGGCTCCCTGGATGAAAAACAGTAGTTGACTGAGATAGGGAGAGAGAAAGGGGAAAGAGATAAAATGAGATTAAGATACATTTCCTCTGACCTGAGCAGAAAAGCTGCTGAAGCTTAATTAGTAAAGATTTCTGACTGACTTCTGCCTAAATGGTTCTTACACAAACTGTTGAACTCTTACTCTAAACTCTGGTGTGCTTCAATGCTTCATCTTGTTCATTTCTGACCCTGTTTTGTAGCACTCCACACACACACACACACACACACACACACACACCAGAAAGCAGGAAGGCCCAGTATTTCTGACCCATCCAGGGCAGTTGTAGCTCTAAGCTAGAAGCAGCCCCACCAGGGGGATTCTGAGGGAATTAAGCACCTCAATGAAAGTGATAGACAGAGCTGGGTGCCTGATCCTCCCAGGGCTGGCTGTTGCCTGCTTAGTTATTTACTTAATGAAGGGTTTCTTTCCTTAGCCACCTGTTAAATGTGCCAGGGATGTAATTGTCAACTAACAAAAGTCCCTGATGGACAGCTTCCCTGCTGGCTTGATGCTTAAAAGATTTCTATCTACAGATTCTTGCATATACTCACCCTGAGCTCTTGTCCCTCTCTGCCGGCAGACAATGGGGTCCCAGTGGGACATTCATAGTCAAAGCCACTTTATCCTCTGGAATCCAGGGTAGCATCCGCAGGGGTGCTTTTGTCCTCTCCTGGTTCCCCCAACACATAGACACCTCTGGATCTGAGATGTCCTGGGCTAGAGCCCGCCCACACCCTCCCTAACTTTCCCTCCTCCCATCACACAAACACATATCCTTTGAAAACAAGCTTTTCTTGGGCCCGACTGTCGCTTCGTGAGAAACTGGAAACCGTATATTAGAATTCAAGCGTGTGTTAGGGAAGTGAAGGAGCCCTCTGGCCTCTCCCCCAACCCCTGCCCTTAATGTACATGTGAAGAGGGAAGCCCTAAAGTCTTTACCATGAATTGTAAACAGGAGAAACAGTACTGGGAAGGCAGCATGTCCTGGTGAGTGCTTTGAACAGGAGAGTCCAGGCTGATCTTAAAGGGGGGCAAAGTCTGAGGCCCTTAACCTTGCACAACCTGTGATGGGCAGGAGTGAAATGAGGGGTGCAGTGCCCTTAGCTGCTGGAAGAAGAGCTGAGTCGAGTGCGTTTCAGGGGAAAAAGGAAGGGCTTGCAGAGAGGCAGGCAGGTGTTGTTGCACAGGAGTTGAACCTGCTGCTTGTAACATGAGCACACCGCAGGGCGTTGAATGCAGCATTTCCTGCTAATGTGCATCTTGGGGCACAGCAGCCGGTGGCTCATGCTGCAGTGCTTGGGCTGCCCCCTGCCTCCTGCCACCCACGTGGAGAAAGTCTAGGCTCCCAGCTTCAGCTTCGGGGCATACCACACTGGCTGACAGATATTTTTGTTAAGGGGTCAATTTGGGGGGTTTTTTGGGTTTTTATTTAGAGATGACGATGGTGTCTTGGCTGTGCTTTCTAAAAAGTCATCTTCCAAACATTACAGTTTGAGGTTCAGTGTTTGTGAACCAAGTGATAGATGAGTATTAAAGTAACACATTGTACCTCGCTGTCACTCCCTTTCCCTTTGTAACTCTGCCTTTCAAGTAAATAAATGAAGTCTTAACACAACACAACCCACTATGGAGGTGATACAAGGGAAAGGAGAAGTGGCTGTGACTTGGTCATTGTCGAGGCTAGGCATCGGGCATGAAGGCTTTGATACGAAAGAGAAGCTGGGAAAGTCGCTGTTATGTAACCCTGCCCCCTTTTGCCATGTTTGCCAGAGTCTGCAGAAGGCTTCCAGTGTGAGAGATGTGGAAAGGTGTTTGCCTACAAATACTACAGAGATAAGCACCTCAAGTACACCCCCTGCGTGGACAAGGGCGACAGGAAATTTCCCTGCTCCCTCTGCAAGCGGTCCTTCGAGAAGCGGGACCGGCTCCGGATCCATATCCTTCACGTGCACGAGAAGCATCGGCCCCACAAGGTGAGTGCGGGCAGGTGACTGGCAGCCACTGACTGCATGCCACCTCCCTCCCTGGCCCTGCAGGAGGGCAGACAGGTGGCCGTGAGGCCGGAGTTGTGAAAGCTAAAGGCAATGTTTGATTCCTGTGGGAAGCAGGATTAAACTACTGAATATTAAACAAGTTGCAGAATAGATATAGAATGATGCTATTTAAAATGTATATGCCATGTATAATATTTGCATTTAAGTGGAAAACAGTTGAAGTGCAAAGAACTTACAGCTGTGTGTGTTAGTATGATTGAGAGTGAAACCAAAGCTTTTATGTTGTTATTTGATAAACTTATGTAAGATTTTAATTTTTAAGTATGAGAAAATAATTGTCCATGCAATTATGAAGGAAAAATATATATAGAAAGCACCTGATGCAGTTAAGCCATTTTAGGCTTTTTCCTCCTGTTTATATGTAGGTATATTTGGGATCCTTCTGACTGTGATGTTATTATATATTTCTAAAAGATTTATTTACTTTTACTAGAAAGGTAGATTAAAAGAACAGAGAGATAGAGGAAGATTTTCCATTCTCTGGTTCACTCCCCAAGTAGCCACAACAGCTGGAGCTGAGCTGAACTGAAGCCAGGAGCCAGGAGCTTCTTCTGGGTCTCCAGTGTGGGTACAGGGTCCCAAAGCTTTGGGCCATCTGTCCTCTATTGCTTTCCCAGGCCACAGGAAGGCACCCAGAAGAGGAAAGCAGCCAGAACACGAACGGGCACCCATGTGGGATCTCGGGCGTGCAGACTAAGTTCTGTTTTAAACACTAGGCTACCGCGCTCAGCCCAATGAAACTACTTTTCTGAATCCACAGTATATATCACAAAGCCAGTATAAAAATAGCAATGTCTATATCCACATCAGATGGATGTACCATATTTTCTTTTTGCAATGTCCTATTTTGTGGCATTTACCCAATATATGATAATAGTGTACAATAACTCATAAAGGTTGTTGTCTCTGCCACCCAGTTCTGGTTACTTCTTTGGTACTTGGGCCCCAGCACCTGCCAAACACATTTGGGAAACCAGGCTGGAGCTCCTGGCTCCTGGGTTGAGCCTGGCCTGATCCCAGCTATTGCAGCCATTTGGAGATCTCCTTGCTTTGTCTCTTCTCCTCCCCTCTCTCACTCTGCCTTTCAAATGAAAATGAATAAATCTGGGGCCCAGCGTAGTAGCACAGTGGCTAAAATCCTTACCTTGCACACACTTCCCATCAAGTTCCCTGCATGTGGCCTAGGAAAGCAGCATAGTACAGCCTAATTCCTTGGGACCCTGCACCCACATGGGAGACCCGAAAGAAGCTCCTGGCTCATGGTTTTGGTTTGGCTCGGTTCTGGTTGTGGCGGGTGGGGAGTGAACCAGCGGATGGAAGATCTTTCTCTCTGTCTCTGTTTCTCCCTCTGTAAATATGCCTTTCCAATAAAGATATATAAATATTTTTAAAAGAGAGAGAAAAAGAGACTTGGTGAGGGAACATGTGATTTCGACATGCATCTCTTTCTCCCCTCAGTGCTCCACATGTGGGAAATGCTTCTCTCAGTCTTCCAGCCTGAGCAAGCACTTGCGCGTGCACTCTGGAGACCGCCCATACCAGTGTGTGTATTGCACCAAGGTAAGCAGAACTGCCTTCAGAGGATCTGCCTTGCACCAGCTTGGTTGCTTTCAAGCAAGAGATCTGGCCTGTGATAACTTTTCAGTAAGCGTCAGCTGTTTATCAGCCCATTCTCAGTGTCTCTCCCCAGATAGGACCTCCTGTTTTCAGGCTGGCATTCAGGGTACACGTCATGAAACAATCCGAATAGAAAGGACTCTAATAATCACAGATATTACGTAGACTTGAGAAGCATGAACTCAACCAAGGCTCAAAGCTTGCTTGGGACTGTTTTCTTGTTGGTGTTTAAGAAAGCAGCAGAAGGTAGCATAAAATGCTTGGGTCTGTGCCACTCCTGCGGGAGACCTGGATGGATTTTCGGGCTCCTTGCTTACATTTGGTCCAACCCTGACCATTGGGACCATTTGGGGAGTGAAAACAGAATGGAGGGCTTCACTCCCCCTCTTACTGCCTTCCCAATAAATGAATACATCTTTTTTTAAAAAAATTTTTTTTTAGTGTACAAGTTTTTGAAATCTATGTTATTTTTCTTAATGCTTATTTTCCATGAACTTTTCAAAGACCCTGTTTTATCCACGGATTTGTTTATTTGAAATGCAGTGTTACAGAGAGGGAGCGGCAGAGAGAGAAATCTTCCGACTGCTGGTTCACTTTCCACATGACTGCAATGGCCATAGCTAGGCCAGGACAAAACCAAACACAAAAACCATCATGTGAGTCTCCTACATGAGTGAAAGAGCTCAGGGCTTAGGCCTTTGTCCACTGCTTTCCCAAATGCATTAGCAAGGAGTTGGATCAAAAGTAGAGCCACAGGTCCAGCACAATGGCTCAAAGGCTAAATCCTCTCCTTGCAAGCTCTGGGATCACATCTGGGCACTGCTTCATGTCCTGGCTGTTCCACTTCCCCATGCAGCTCCTTGCTTGTGGCCTGGGAAGGCAGTAGAGGATGCTCCAAAGCCTTGGATCCTGCACCCTTTGGGAAACCTAGGAGAGATTCCTATCTCCTGGCTTCAGATTAGGTCAGCTCCAGTCACTGTGGCTGTTTGGATAGTGAACCAAAAGATAGACAATATATCTCTCTCCTTCACTCTGTAAGTGTAATCTACCTTTCTACTGTAACCTGAGATGCCACCATGCCAGCCCATAACCCCTTTGTTTAATTGACTATTTCCGTCCTCTTTGCAGAAGTTCACCGCCTCCAGCATACTTCGCACACATATTAGGCAGCACTCTGGAGAGAAGCCCTTCAAATGCAAGTTCTGTGGCAAATCTTTTGCATCACACGCGGCCCATGACAGCCATGTCCGGCGCTCTCACAAGGAGGATGAAGGCTGCTCTTGCAGTGTCTGTGGGAAGACCCTCCCGGATCAGAACACCATCTGCTGTCATGTGAAACCTTAATGGACCCTGCTAGCCCAGCAGCGCAGGTGGTGTAGAGGTGGAGGACTCGGAAAGTACTGCCAAAACTTCCTTCATGGCTGCTCTCGACGGAACAAGTGCTAGCAGTATTGAATGTGAGTCAGAAAAGTGGTAGTGACCGATTTGCTGAATATGTCAGACCTATTGACAACTCTCATTGGAAACCTTTTTTTGCAGTTTTTAACCAGAATGGAATTTTGGTGAGCTTAGCCAGAAGTGATGAAAGCTGGAGGATAAGCAGCTGGACAGCTCCCACTCTAAGAGTGAGGAAGGCAAGTTCCTGCAGTGTACAAAGGGGGACCCAGAGCTCTAGACTGCTGATGGAAGAGAAGGGGAGCCAGTTCTTTAAAATGTTAACTGCTTTGAGTTTTCAGCTATACTGTTTGTGGCCCTCAGCTGTTATATTTTTGCATAAAAAAAAATTACTCTTTAAAAGTTTGTCCAAGACAGTGCTTTGTACTTCAGTAACTAAGTCTTCAGACATGATTCAATCTTTGATCTCTTTGTTTTTATTTTTAAAAGAAAGAGCTCTTCCATGTACTCATTCACTCCTCCAAGGCCTGCAGCAGTGAAGAACTTGGCCAGGCCAAAGGTGGGTGCCTGTGGTTCCATCTGAGCCTCCCACATTGGTAGCAGATACGCAAGGACTGTGTCCTCCCAGATACGTTAGCAGGATGCTGGATGGGAAGTGGAACAGCTGGAACTAACACTCCCACTTGGGATGCAGGGCAACCCAACACCTGCCCCCATGTTGGGGAGATGGGAATTGCAGCTCAGGTATGGATAATAACAGCCAGCATTATGGACATTATATCTGAAGTGGTACCACGGAGAACACTGACTGTGATAGAGGAGCAAGTTGATGCTGAAAGTAAAGGAAGTGGCGAGTGGCTATCGGCCTCCGAGGGATGCCTGCCAGGGGCTGACTGCAAAGCCCAGCCTGTTCACTCGCCACTTGTTCGGACTGTGAGCAGGTGCTAAGGATATGCCATTTTTAAAAATAGTTTCTATTTTATCCTGTGTCGAGGCAAAAAGCAACAAATTAAAATGGGATACGAATGCTTCACAGGTTGAGGGAGGCCTCCCTCGACTCTGAGATGAGTCAGGGTTGGCTGCCTACTCGTCAGGGAGGCTCAGTGTAGCCTCAGAGAAGGCTGAGGCTTCCTTGGAGAGTGAGGCCCACTCCTAGTGGACTGGCACCTGGAAATGTACATGTGTGTGTATGTACACACGCACAACTGGCACTCTATCAATGTAGTGCTCATCCCTGGGAAGCAGAAGGCTCTCAAATTCCTTTGTAATCCTGGTTTTCTCTAGTAAGGTCACTTAGCTCAGTCAAAAAGCAACCCTAGCTCCTAAGGCTGTGTCCCTCCCCAGCCGTCTTCATGTTGACTGCTGGCTTTGCGTTGCTCCACCCTGGATCTGTGGCCCTTGTCTCTGAGCAATTCCGCAGGAACAGATGGCTCTTGCAGAAGGGCGCTCTCCGGCAGAGCCCGTAGGAAGAGATGTAGGGCAGGTGGAAGAGCCGTCACATATTTCCCTCTGGGGAATTGAGCAATTCATCCTAATGGGAATGTGCCCTGTTTTAGGACTGTTTAAGCTCATGTTAATTAAGTCAGAACAATGCTCTTCTGGAAAGACTGAGGGCTCATCATGTAATTAGGCAGCCTTTCTGACTGCTAGCTCAAAATAGATGACTTGAAACATTTTCTTGCTGTTTAACGGTTTCAACATTATTTTTAAATCAAGTGGTAATGCAAGTCCTCAGATCAGATAATGCCCCCCTAACATCATCCTTGAGTAATTGACTGAAACACTTCTATTTGTTTAAAGTGTGGACCTCTTCTGTTTCTAAAAATGATTTGAACGAATTTATAAGTTATTTAAAAAGACCAAGTCAAAGACAAATCACCACAAAGAAAGTAAAATGAAATGAAAACCGAGTTTAATGTTGGCTAAACATTCTAAGAAGCACAAGCACAACAGATCTCAGGTGTGTGAATTCAACATTTATCTGCCATTTTCTCACCGTTGTTGGGCAGGCCATTTACTGTCTCAGGTTTAACATCCTCATGCACAATATAACAGTTATGTTGTAGGCTGTTAGAATCAAATAAAAAATGAGATTACATGTGTGTGGAATGATACCCGAATGATCTGTTTCCTTTCAATTAAGCAAAAGGGAGATGATGACTGCAGAATTTGTTGTTGACAACATGCTCTCTTTCAGTGAGTCTCCAAGGTAACTCTGGGCAGCATCATCTGGGAACTTGTTACCATAGTCGGGGTAGTTTCAGCTCTTCCCCATTGCTGTGACTATGAGTGTCACAATGTTGACCTGGCACAATCCCGTTACTCCTCGGAAGTCATGAGAATAGACTGCAGAGTGCCACTTTCACTGGGAATAAAGACAACTAGGAGATGCCGAGCTGGGCAGCTTCTGGGCTCTGCTGGGAGGGAGTGCAGACACCATGAGAGGCAGCTTCTCTGTTCCTACTTTCCCTGCCACAGTCCTTACCTGATGATGTCCATTCCTTAGAGTAGAAAGCGTGTTTCTGTTCTCTAATAGTCAAAATCATTTCAGGCAATTTGTTTTGGATAAGAACCTGATGGGGAAACAATAAGAAAATAAATGTAAGACTATCTGAAACTGAAAAAAAGAAAAAGTCTCTTGTCTCAAAGTAAATGGTATTCAAAATATTGACGGACCTCTTAATGGATCCTCAGGGTGTCCCAAGACTCGGCAAAGCAGCAGAACAAAGCTATCGGAGCCGACAGATGTTTGGGACCTCAATGAGACCCACAGGAGGTTCCTTGTTGAGGCCATAAAGTCACAGCTCAGTTTTGCCAGGACAAAGTAGGGGACATGCTGGGGTTGGAAGGAACTGCCACTCATAGCAGAATAGAGGTAAAGTTAACAAAACACTGCCCCAGAACATCTATTGTTTATGGATCCAGCTTAAAAAAAAAGAAAAATTGAGGGATGGAGAGATCTCCCATCTGTGTCACTCCAAATGCTGGGTACTGCAGAACTGACCTGGGCTGAGCCAGGGGGGATTCTATCCAGGGCTCCCACGTGGATGACAAGGGCCCAACGACTTGGATCATCTTTGTTGTTCTCCGGGGCACACTGACATGGAAGTGATCTGAAGTGGAGCAGCCAGGACACAAATCGGTGCCGATGTGGGATGCGGGCATTGCAGGTAGTGGTTTCCTAGGCTACGACCCCAGCCCCCATCCTTTTCACGTGAAATTATTTCAGGATTTTCAAGAGGTGTTCTTCACATTACTAAACAGTGTTTTAACATGACATAAATTCTATTGTTACAAAATGTATTCCAAATTTATTTCTAGCACAGTGCTTGGTGTTGAAAGCAGTTTGCCATAAAGAAATGCCAAGTATTTTACAAAATTTACAGAAATGCCAAGTGTTTGCTTCTCTGTGTTCAATTTGGCATGTAATAAAAAATATTTGAAAGATTTTAGGATAAAAATTTCTCCCATTCTCTTATTTCTTTAAAAGCTACATTTATTTATGTAGGTATCTATTTGAAAACAACTCATCTATTGAGATACAGCAAAAGACTTCAGAAGGAAGACAGTATGCAGTGGCAGTCACTGGAGCTTGTTTTTTTTTTGAGGATAGTAGGACTGTTTCTCTGGAAAAGTCTTTGCCAGGGCTGCGACCCGTGAACCACTCTCCCCGGCTGTCTGATTTAATGGTGTCAGGGCAAAATTCTTTATCAAACTTTCATTAAACCTAGGCTGAGCCTCTTCCAGGTTCTGCCTTGGAAGGTGCTTGCTCTCCCCTTTCCAGTTCTTGAATACCAACTCTCCCCCTCCCCCGTAGCCTCGCCCCTCCTCCGCCCCACCAGGCAAGCCCGAAGCTGGTCTTTCTAGTCCTAGTAGTACCTGGAGGGTCTGAAGGTTTGAAATCTCTTGATAAACCACAGGGAGTGCAAAAAGAGCAGAGTAATTGTGCTCCCCACACTATTTGTAAAACTTGTGATTGTAGAACTGTAACACTGCAGTGCAAGCTCTATGTGACATATGTGCATGAAAAATATGTACTTTCTTGCATTAAAAAAAAAATCTTTCATGTGGCTGGGGAGCCTAGGTTAGGACTGCAGTGCAAGCTCTATGTGACATATGTTCATGAAAAATATGTACTTTCTTGCATTAAAAAAAAAATCTTTCATGTGGCTGGGGAGCCTAGGTTGAGACAAGAGACTTTTTCTTTTTTTCAGTTTCAGAAAGGGTTTAGAAAATAAAACCCTTGAGCACGACTAGCCAGGAACTTTTACCAGCGATTTTGCCCGTTGTCAAGACCTTTCCTTGTCCGTAGTTGCCTATTCAAGGTGTGGCAGGATTTACGAGGGAAAGAAAAAAGTGGGACTTTTCAATCTGTATGACTTAAATAACAAAAATACTTGAAAATGGGGACCTCAGTGAATTAATTACGGAAAGGGGAAGCTATCTGTAGGAAATCCGACCCCACAACACGAGCAGTCACCCATGGTTTGTCCTGGGTTTGTCCGCCGGGCTTAACAGCCTCTTGCTTAGAGCAGTTCTTGTATTCAGTGCCTGAGATAGTAGCTGGCCCTTCACTCTCTAGGAACGCGTTGTGTTAGTGTAGGACAGTAAATCTAGATTTAGAAAGAAATCACACCAGCCATGCATCCTCCTAGATTTCATGTTCTGACTCCCAGAGAAAAGTGCAAGCTCAAGCCTGAGTGTCTCAAACTTGCCTGAAGAATCATTTGCAGATCCTGGACAAGACCAGTTCCTGGAGCTGCTGCTCAGACCCAAGCAGCTCCTGTCCTGGGTGAGGTGGGAGGGTGCGGCCCAGAGACACCTGGTAATGAGCACCCAGACAATTCCTATGAGTGGAAATTTCTGCTCCTCTTTTTTTTTTTTTTTTTTGGAAGATTTATTTATTACTGGACAGCTAGATATACAAAGAAGAGCAGAGACAGAGAGGA